TTCGAATTTTTACCTCCTTGAGTAAGTTGATTCTTAAGTATTTTACTCTTTTTGATGCTATTGTAAATAAAAGTGTAAAGTTTGTAAATTTCTTTTTCAGATTATTTATTATTACTGTATAGAAGAACAACTAATTTTTGCATATTGATTTTGTGTCCCACTACTTTGCAGAATTTATTAGTTCTAACAATTTTTTTGTGGAATTTTTAGGGGTTTCAACTTATAACATATTATGTGTAAACAAATATAATGTTACTTCTTCCTTTCCAATTTGGATACTATTTCTTTCTTTTTCTTGCCTAATTGCTTTGTCTAGAACTTCTAATACCATGTTGAACAGAAGCGGTGAAAATGGGCCTTCTTGCCTTGTTCCTGATCTTAGAGGAAAAGCTTTCAGTCTTTCACCCTTGAATACGATGTTCTCTGTGGATTTCTATATGTGGCTTTTATTATGTTGAAGTAGCTTGCTTTTACTCTGAGGTGTTTTTAGTGTTGTGAACATGAAGGCATGTTTACTTTTGTCAAATGCTTTTTCTGCATCCATCGAGATGATCATGTGTTTTATTCCTTCATTCTGTTAATGTGGTTTATTACATTGATTCATTTTCATATATTGAAACATCCTTGCATTCCTGGAATAAATCCCACTTAAAAATGATGTATAATCCTTTTAATATGCTGCTGAATTTGGTTTGTTACTATTTTATTGAGGATTTTTGTATCAATATTCATCAAAGATATTGACCTGTAGTTTTCTTTTCTCTTAGTGTCTTTGGCTTTGATATCAGGGTGGTGCTAACCACATAGGATGACTTTATTTATTTATTTTTTTGTGAGGAAGATCGGTCCTGAGCTAACATCTGCCAATCCTCCTCTTTCTTGTTGAGGAAGACTGGCCCTGGGCTAACATCCATGCCCATCTTCCTCTACTTTATATGGGACACCGCCAGAGCATGGCTTGACAAGCAGTGTGTCGGTGCACGCCCGGGATCTGAGCTGGTCAAGCCCGGGCCGTGGCAGCGGAGCACGTGCACTTAACCACTTGTGCCACCAGGCTGGCCCCCCATGGGATAACTTTAGAAGTATTCTCTCCTCTTCAACTTTTTGAAAGAATTTGAAAAGAATTGGTGTTTGTTAATTTAACAAAGTCTTTGGGCCCAGGAATAAATTCAGCATAAAATAATTCAAAGAAATATTTTTTTAAAATGTGAACAAGGTTCTTTCCTCAAAAAATTAAAAATTAAGCATGTACATCACTTATCAATTTATTTCTAAAAAGTTTTTTTAACCTAATAGTAAGCATGAACAAATTGTTAGAATTAAAATGACTCGTGTTAATTTTCTTCATTGCAAATTTTCTGACAGAAGTATATGATGCCATCATGTATGACATCTTTTATGAAAAAAAAAGATCATTTTTTGTAGCATTTGAGAACATTATGAATTTTCCCAGTGGCATCTGACAATACTCTGATATGCAAAGTTATCTTTTCTTCATGTATGTCTTATCATCATCCTTACCAAATTAACAAACTCTGTCAGGTGCTAATTAATCAATTACTTTTTATATGATTCAGGTTCTCCGCCATCGACTTCCCTAACCATCAGGAAATTCTACAACTTCTGCAAGATTAACAATTTTACCTTACACTGTATTTATCTCATGTGGTTTAAAACATCCAAAAATCATTGGTAAACTGAGCCTGCCAAAACTAAAGCATGGTGAATTATAAAAGACGGTCTCTGTAAAGTGGGGAGGGATTTCAGGTTGAACTTAATTTTATAAGTGGTCAATTTATTACAGTGTATTGTTCTGTTATGTATTTCACTTCTTTTTTTAAAAACGTGATTGTTGAGGGCACTTAGATAATAAAAAGTTGAGAAAATAAGGAAGTGATATACTCTGTAAGCTTCAGATGTTTTCAAGCATAAGATACAATAAGAACTAAAACTAAGAAATGACAGAAGAAATAGAGATAAGAGGATGAAATTGAAAACTGAATCTATAATAATATCACAATGGCTAGAGTTTTGGTGCCAAGAAGGTGGTGAAGTCAAAGAATTCATAAAGATGATAATAAACAGATTGCAAAGAAAAAAGACTGAAATTTTTATAGAGAGAATTTTTACAGCGATATTACAGATAGAGAACAGGGAAGAGAAGTTGGAGTGAGAGACTATCTGCTTCTTAAATTACTCCCACTGTAGAGAACAAAAATCCAATTTGCTGAAATCTCTATTCCCCTCTATGACTCTATCTTTACCTGCAAAATCTCAGCCCTGGATCAATGTCACAATCCTCCTTTTCCACCCCCGGTGAACAGAGCAATTAAGCTCATCTGAAACCTCAACTGCCCAGCCTGTGAAATAAGGGTGGCCATCCATTCTCACAGAGGAGCCAACTGGAGGTAGGATTTTTGGTTCTCAATTCAGCTAAACATCTTCAAAGAATTATATCGGGCCTTCCTTATCCAGAGCTACCAGTGAAGGGCTGGCTGGCTTTCAGAGAAGACCAATTCACAGTTAGCTGAGACATTTTCTGTTGAGCTTTCTAGAGAAGGCTGTGGGGCTTGTCAGTAAGAGTTGATTTCTATACGGGTTACATTTTTTTATTTTATTCAGAGATTTATAAAGAAATTTACATGGTAAGTATTACTTATTATCAAGAAAAAAAGGTTGTCTATTCTCTGGTCATTTAAGCAAAATCCCCTTCTCAGGGCCCACCCATGGACAAAGCCCAGATTTAAACTCCAAGCATCTGCCAGGCACACTGTGGTCCATGAGAAGCCCTCAAGTTGGCAGCCTGTTCCCTTGTGTCCTGTGCTGGTACTTAATCTTCCATATCTTCAGGGTACAAGTAGCCAGAGGCTCAAAGGACTTGACATTGGAGAAATGTACTTTGCATTATCTTTAGACTTCTACACTTTTCAAAAAGACTCTCAGCGTTTCCAGTAATTGTGCAGCAATTTACCCAACACTAACGTTCTCACTCTATTAAAAATTAAAATAAATAAATTTTGAAAAGGAAAAAAGTGATCTTTGCAATTTTGTACAGAATCTATATAATGGGTGTGTCCTTATAAATGGAGGAAGGATAACAAATTTAACTATTTTGGTTAGTTAACACAGTAAGTAATATACTTTATATATTACCAATTTTGAGATGATTTGTATTTAAAATCACTGCTTCAAACCCGTAAATCATTGTAAGTGGTAGAGTCTGCCATCTGCTTTGGCTGAACAATTATATACAGTAAGTCAGTTAAAATTCTTCCATTCCTGTATAATCTTATATGTGGGTGGTAATGGTTAGTTCTTATAGATTGTTTGAACATGTGCATATCAAAAATACAAGTGACCATTAAAAATTAAAATGTTCACCAAATACAAGATTATCTGATTCCCAGAAAAAGAAAACATTACTGTAACATTAAGGCTAAAACTGTCGAAAAGGAAGCCAAGATACACTCAAGTAAAGCTTTTGCTGAAAAGTTAATTAGCTCCTCTTTGAAACTTTATCATGTTTATTATGTAAGCAAGATACTTTCAGAGCCTAGAATATAGAAAGTGCTTATGGTAAGTTAACATTGTGATCATTTACTTTGTAAATGTTAATATAAGATATGTAATTCATTTTCTACTATATTCAGATTTTCCAGTTCTGCTAAATCTAAGGCCACATTACTGGCAAATTGGGATACCTGAAGCCACCTGAAAAATACGAATCCTACACAGGAGCATATAAATTCTCTATTCATCTGGTTCTAAATTCTAAAACATTCTAAGCTTTTGGAAGAAACCAATGGCATTCCAAATTTACAGTAAGGCTGCATGTGCCATACATGATCCTATAGGAAGAGAATTCCAGATTTTAAATAGAGGAGATTGTGCACACAAATAAAGTATGTTTTCAAGTCTGAAAGAGGATTTCAAGAAAGAAGGGACTCTCAGAACATGTGGTAAGTGGTAAACAACTTACCAAGGGCTCTCTAAAGGAGAACATATTGTGGACAAAAGAGCTTCACAGGCAGAGAGTTAAAATGGCATCTCTGGAATCCTTACGATGAAACAGACTCTGAACCACTTTTTCCTAAAATTTAAAATGCATCTTATCCTCCAAACAAATACCACCTCCCTGCCTTGCAGCTTAACTGGGCATGGTGATGTGTTGGAATCATTTTCTAATTCATTGGCTCTTAAACTTGGTGGGCACCAGAAGCACATGGAGGTCTTGTTGAAACCCAGATTTCCAGGCCCCACCCCAGAGTTTCCAGTTCAGCAGGTCTGCAGCAGCACCTGAGAATTTGCATACCTACCCAGTTCCCACGTGATGCTGATGCTGCTGGTCCAGGGGCCCCACTGTGAGAACCACAGCCTAACTTACATCCTATATATGGTTACCAAATCCATTATTTCATCCTTTGGCTGCTACTTTTCCTTTATCACATCAGCACTTTAGCTCCAAATCTCCTCACCTAGCAATGGGAATACTTGGAGAATTTAACAGCTGGTCCTCCTTTCCGGCTCAGTTCTCCCTCTTCCTCTCAATACTACAATCTCTTGCCAGGTAATTGTTCCTTAAACATCAGTTGATCATAGATCTTCTTTGCTCAAAAACTCATGGCTCTTATACTGAGCACAAGACATTTTAAACTCTCTACTTGGCTCATAAGGTCTGTAATAGCCTGTAGAATGTGGACACCCTCTTCCCTATCCTGCCCACTATAAAGGAGTATGTGAGGCTTACATAAGATACAGTCAGTTCTCCTTATGCACACTATGACATTCTATAAAGTCACTGTGAACACCGAATCGGTGAATATGACCCACTGTTACTACAGGAAATGCAGGGTTAGGGTCCTGCAAGCCTTAGTCATATTTTCTTCAACTGATCAATATATAACCTTGTTTTCTGTGTGTTTCTCTTTCAAGTCACCTTATTTAATATATATTCTTGATATATTAACATTGAACTCACACCAATAGCACTGTAACTCGTGTCTGAAAGAAGGTTTTCGAACACACATACTTTCTCTGTAAAGGCACGTTACAGCCTCTTGCCCTGAGGAACACCAGGCAGCATTGCAGCACTACACATGCGGGACATATTTAACAGCCAAGTCACCAACACAAAGCACAAAAAGATAAGAAATGAGGCACTAAATAGACTGCAAGAGGGACACTTGTTTACAGTATGGGCTGAAACAAGAGGGCAGAGCGTCACCTTGTTCCCCCTCAGCTGGGAACGTGCAGGTCGAGTGACCCAAATTTTTCACCACTTTGTGCATATCTGCAAATGGACATGAAAGCCCTGTGAGTGTTGACTTGGGGGCTGCCAGTACATTTTATCTAGTGGGCAAGTGTGCAACACGGAATCCACAAATAATGAAGATCAACTATATTATGAAAGCATCTTTTCAAAACCAGAGTATTGCTCAGATATAAGAGCAATAATGATAATAAAACAGCTAACATTTTAGTGTCTACTATGTGCCAGGAGCTCGTCTAAGCACTTTACGTAAGCTAATGCATTTAAATCTAATTTAAAGTAAATTAAAACTAAGGCTCAGGGAGTAAATACCTTGCACAGGGTCCCCAGTTAAAAGTGGAATAAGTGGGATTGGTGCCCAGACAAACTGGTCCAAAGCCCACTGCCTCAACCACTATGGTAGGAATGTGAGTGGATTTTCCACCACTTCCTGAAAGGCCCCTTCTGCTCCAGCCAGTGTGGTCTCCCACATACTTATTCACTCATCAAACATTTTCTGAGTGCCCTAAAGGTGTGAGGTACTGTGTTTAGATACTGGAGAGACAAATAGAATGTCAACGCAAATAATCCATAACCAATCTATAAATCAAAATTGGGGTGAGTTTATTATGAGCCAAGCTTTGAGGACCATATAGCCTGGGACAGTCCTTTCAGGAAGAAATGGAGCACTCCAAAGAAGTGGGGTGTACAGACTGGTTATATACCATCAAAGAGCATGTACCACAGGTGATTGCAATGTCCCTTTTATAATAGCCGTGACATTGACCTGTCGGCACGTCAATTGATGGACACAGTGGGTATCAGGTCTGCTGTCTCCATGGGCGTGGCTGTTGTCTCCAGTTGGGTGGTCACAGGATGAGCTCAGCAATCAAATCCTAGCCTAGGGAGAACTGCTTATCCTTAAGGAAATGCCAATGTGGGGGAAGTTGCATTTACATCATAAGGACATTGTTCTTGTCTTTGGGACATGTTAATTGCTTAAAGTGGATATACAATGGATGAACAGAGGCTATAGGCCCCTTTTGGGAAAAAAAAAAAAAAAACAAGGTCAGGCCCAGTTAGTTTTACACCAAATGGCTTCTTCTTCTGCTCCAGTATATCCAATAGGATATTGGATATTGGCGAGCAATAGCTCGCCATTTATTTATAAAGAAGAAGGATAGTCTCAGCTTTAAGGAGCTCACTGTCTATGAGACATGAATAAAACAACAGTTATGAAAAAGTAGATAAGTACAGGGTCCCAGAGTGGGGACATCAAAAGGGGTCTCTAGATGGAGACCTCACAGGAAAAGTTTCCAAGAGGAAGGAACATTTGACATGAGTTTAGATTAAGAAATAGGAATTAAGTTGATCAAAAAAGGGGGTAGGAGGACAGAAGAAACACATATAAAAAGATAGATATAAAGGATGCTAAAGCTTTAAGAAAAATGGGGGTATTTTTAAGGCTGGAACAAAGCGAACATGTAGGAAACAGTGGGTGATGAGGCTAAAGATGAGGACAGCAAGGGAAAGCCTGCATGTCCAGCTCAGGAATCTGAGTGTTCTCACAGATGCTCTGAGCAGTCACTATAGGAGTCAAGGCAGATGTAAGATTTAAGCAAATTTGGGTTCTAGAAGGTACCTCTGGAGCCATTGTAGAGGAAAGATTGGAAGAAATTAAGACTGGAAGTAAAGGGACCTGTTGGGAGACTAGGCAGTGATCCAGATAAGATAGGCCTTGGCTCAGGCGGTGGGTCTGCAGGTGGAGGAGGCCAGGAGGTGGGAAGCAGTGCTGGGCTCCTGGAGGAGGAAACTGAGCTGCCTCTCAGTCACGGGAAGACTGTGCCTGTCATGGCCTCCCCACCCCCATGCCCAAATACCATGTTCCTTTCTACTTCTGTACCTTTCCTCTCTTCCCCCATCTGAAATCCTCACTCTTTCTTCCCTCCACCTGCCCAAAAGCGGTCCTTTTGAGGACTTGATCTAGTCCACCTCTCCTAAGAAGCTGTCCTTAATTACAATTTCTCAATAAGATTCCCTTTTTATTAGGTTCTGTAATACAACATACACTAAATACCTTGGCAGAATCAAGTTACATCTTGCAAACCATGTCATGTATGTGGAGGCAATTGGAACTTTATAATTCTTTGTATTTGCTTCAATTCCTACCACAAATACCTCGCACATATAGGTCAATGGATGTCCAGTAAAGTTCAATAAAGGAGAAGCACCCTTTATAAGCTAAGAACTTTTATGAGCTCAGTTATTCCTTTAGATCAGCTGCTTGAACCATTTGTCTTTCTCCACAGGTCAACAGTGTTGCCCAGCACAAATGAATTTTACACCTTCTCAAACTCAATAGAGCAAAGATGGAACTTCATTCCCCCTGCAAGCCTTACTTCCTCAGAGAAAAGCAAAAACAACATGTGACATCTAATTCTTTCTTCACATTCTCATCTCAAATTGCAACGGTTTTCCAGATGCTAACTGGTTTTCATTCTTAAAACTGAAAGAAAAGTTTCTCATTATTTCCTTTTCTTCTTTTTTTTTTTTTTAGTGAGGAAGATCAGCCCTGAGCTAACTTCCAATGCCAAGCCTCCTCTTTTTGTTGAGGAAGATTGGCCCTGGATTAACATCTGTGCCCATCTTCCTCTACTTTATATGGCATGCCCCCACAGCATGGCTTGACAAGCAGTATGTCGGTGTGTGCCCAGGGTCCGAACCTGTGAACTTGGGGCCCCCGCAGCGGAGCACGCTCACTTAACCACTGCGCCACATGGCCGGTGCCTCTCTTTATTTCTAAAGCTGAACTGTCTAAATCTTTCTCTGGGCTAATTGGAGTTTCCATAAAATGAAAACGTACATTCCAGAAAAATCCTTAACTTTCCAGAATAATCCTTAATATATTATGGTAAACACCTTGGCAAAATGTCACTGATTTTCAACGTCAGTGCCTCCACAAGGGTATCCTTGCATTGTCTCCCCACCCAATCACCTCTCACTTTGCCCCTCTCCAGGCTCATGGGCTCAAAGTGTTTACTGAGCACTAAGAACGATCAGAGTCTGAGGGAGACTTCAAGGATGACTAAGCCACGTTTTCTGACCCCAACCATCTCTCTCCTTCTCTCCTTTAACCTCTATTTTTCTCACTCTGGTTTCTACTTTAGTTGTTTACTTGTCATGTGAATTGCTGTTTTGTGGTTTATAATTACCATGTAAATTCCTATTACTTTTTGCCTTAGAGTTTAGAAAGACCTTACATTAAACAATGTTTTTTCCCAGCCCTTTGATGTGTCTAATACCTTCCAAGGCAATTCAAGTGGCTGCTTCTTTTTATGTCTCCATCATTATTCCTTCAGAATTATGTTCACTCCACACTTTTGATCTGACCAATGCTGCTTTACCCTTTAAACTTGTCTATGCCAAGACTCAAGTGAGGAATCCCTCAAGCACCATCAGCTAGGTGCCCCACATTCCTCACATCTGTTTCCTTGATTTGTTCCTAAATAAAGATGTTTCTGAAACTAATAATAAATTGTACCAAGTGGTCATTGTATAGAAAGCACTATCACAGATACCTTAAAGAGAACAAATGGAAAAGAATATTCAAATGCTCAGATAGGTTTGCCATCAAATGAGGCATTGAGGGGACCAGGGGGCACTGATGAGAGCAGGATCCTAAGGAAGAGTTTTAAGTCAATGTCAAATGAGGTTAAAACTGGAATGAGACAGTATTTTACCAGTTATCTGAAATCATAAGCATTTCTCTGATCTTTGAGAATTTATTTGCATATAAACTGTACAACATGTGGGGTAAAAGAGTGCTGATATTGTTTAATTTCTTTTTATTATTCAGCACTATGTAATAGATGTGGCTATTCACAATTAATAAATATCATAATGTGGAGAGACCCAACTTTAAACTGCCTGATATTATCAATTCATACACAAAGCTAGAGTTTGAAAGATCAAATTTCATTCTAGTTACCTTTCAACTAGTCCATTTATATCAGAAAGTTGTGGAGTTTTAGGAAAATACTTCAAAACACAAATTTTATATGTAATTTCAAAAGCAAAAAATTCGTTAAAAACTGGGTGGTAACCAGTTTTCTACCATATATTAATCTTTAACATGGGAGCAAACATTTTTAGAGAATATAATTGATATTCGCCTATTTGTATATTGTAGAATGTTAAAAGATTTACAGTTTTAATAGTATTTCAAATACCAGAGATTAAAAAACAGAACTGTTTCTGTTTTATGAAATAGTTTTTTAGACATAGCAGATTTTCACAGCATATTACTTGAAAATAAAATAATCAGTTAGTGAGGTTTAAGCAATGTGGTTTTATTTTAAACTTGCTCATTCCATAGGAGCATCAATAAAAGCCCTCCAGGAGTAGCTGACGCTCTTTCTTCCTCATGAGCACCAGCTGCGTTGGCTTTAAGCATCAGAGTCTCGGGCAACACCATAGCCCTCAACTCCGTTTAGTTGAGAAAAGGCTTTATGAGTCGTGTGTTTTTTCTAGGAGTATGGAGCTCCCAGACTTATTAACTACAGGGAGAGTGTAAGAGTCAGAACGCATTCAATAAACTCCAGTGTGCTCAGGTGAGAGGGTAAGTGCCTGAACTCACATCTGAAGAAGAACTTAGAGGATGCTTTCTGACTCCGCTTCATGTCTCTGACTAAGCAGTCCTGGACTTCCCCGTTACAGCCAGAGAATAACACAGGCAGCCTTGATGGACCAGAAATCCTCCTATGTCCATCATTTTTACAGAGCAAACTGGCTTAAGACCTCTCGTTTCCTGCTGCAGTGGTAATTTACAGAGATACAGAACTGCCATCTAGTGACTAGGAAGAAAACAGCAAGGTGCTTTACATGGAAAATGAAATTGTAAGTTTTTTAAAAAAGAACAGTGAAGAATTAAAGTTGGTAAAGTTGACACAAAGTTGACAGAATGTGGCACATGAAAGTTATAGTAAAACTGAAGAACGTGTAGGTGAACTAATCAGTTGCTCTCTCTGCCTCTAAAACATGTCTTGAGATCTGACTCATAAATAGTATAGTTTAAATATAATAGAATAACTTTGGAAATAAACTTCTCATCTCGTCTCATCCAATGACGTTCGTAGGAGCTGGTATTAAATAGCCAGATGGTGAGTACCCATGTTGAAGTAGCATTTTTATCACAGTGGAGAGAATACGAGGCATAAAATCCAACAGACTGATGTTCAGATCTTCCATCTTACCCTTGATCAATTTTGTAAACGTGGTCTTTTTTGTGTGTGTGTGAGGAAGATCAGCCCTGTGCTAACATCTGCCAATCCTCCTCCTCTTTTGCTGAGGAAGACTAGCCCTGGGCTAACATCCGTGCCCATCTTCCTCCACTTTATATGGGATACCGCCTCAGCATGGCTGGCCAAGCCGTGCGTCGGCGCGTGCCTGGGATCCAAACCGGCGAAACCTGGGCCGCTGCAGCAGAGCACACGCACTTAACAGCTTGTGCCACCGGGATGACCCCTAAACATGGTTTTCTTTATTAGTTAAATATGAATTATAATAGTTACTTTAAAGGATTACTGTAAGAATTGCATGAGGTAATACAGTAAAGGAACCGGTGCACAGTAGAGTGAGAGCCTGCCCTGGCTCTCTTCTATGAAACATACACAAATCATCTAAGAAGAGAACCCGTCTATACAATAAACTTATGACAAAGAGTCAATGGCTCCTGAAGTAAGGGACATCATTGTTGAGTGCTTAACCTCAACTGCCTCCAAATACTGTTAACTTTCAATTAATTTTATGTGTTTTCTGTCTTCCAGACACTTCACTGGCTACAAGGAAAGGAGAACGTGTGAAATTTAAATTGATCTATTTCACCCTTGAATGTCCAAGCTGTAACATCAGCTGTTTTAAATCATCTAGTTCATCAGGTTTTCTGCTTATTACTATATACTTTACCATGGTTCACAGCCCAATAAAAATAGAAAATCATCATAATTTTACACACATGAATATATATCTTGTCTATTACAGCTGGAATCTTAATATATAGAGCAATGTTGTACATGTTTTGTCCTTGTTGATAGTACAGAATACTTTTGTCCAGGTTTTCTTTGGCATTATCATATATAATGAAGAACTCAGTAACATATGCCCTGGAGATAAGGATTTAGAAAAATCTAACATACTATCCTAGTCATGCCTCAAAAAATATGCTATTAAAAATAATGAGAGCATATTTTGAAGGCATTATTTTTCTTAATTATTTCCAACTTTATTTCTCTTTACCTCTTTTTAATCTTTCTCCATCTTATTGGCTATTGGCTAATCATCTCACAGTAATTAAATAACCCTCAACTGAGTCCACCATGCCTCTTCAAGTGCCCCAGTCTGATGTCAGTCTCAGCTCTGACAAAAAGAAGCTGGGAAAACCTGTTTTGTGGCACTATTCTTAAGAATATCTTTACTCTCACAATAATAGCTATATTTTCGAAAGGCACCAGTGGATTATAAAATGAAATACTCAACCAATGTTGTATCCTCATTTTCCCTCCAGGGGGAGCACAACTTTCATGTGTAATGCAGGGCTGCTGCTTTATTGTTTTTTCCTTTCAAGATATTTTATTACTTGTAAAACATTTCTACATAAATAATCCATAATGAATCTATAAATCAAAATTATTATGAGCCAACTTTTGAGGACCGTGGCCTGGGGCCTTCCTTCCCTATGGAAGGAAGGGCACCAAAGAAGTGGAGTGTACAGAGCGGTAGTATACCGTCAAAGAGCATGTATCACATCAGATTGCAATGTCCCTTTTACAATAGCCACAAGATCGCCCTGCCAGATTGCTCTACCAGAATAGCTATTGATGGACACAGAGGGGAGCAGGTCTGCTGTCTCAATGGGCGTGGCTCGTGTCACATCTGTTGTCTGGAGCTGGGTGGTCACAGGATGAGTGCAGCAGTCAAATCTTAGCCTAGGGAGAAATGCTTATCCTTAAGGAAATGACAATGTGGGGGAAGTAGCATCCTTATCTGAAGGACATTTACTCTTCTCTTTGGGACATGGGGAAGCAGATACACAACGCAGGCGACAGGCCCTTTTGGAAAAACAAACCCAGGCCGAATTGTTTTACCACAAATGGCTTCCTGATGTGCTCCAATATATCCTATTGCTTGCCATTTATTTATCTTTTTCCCCGTTTTGATCTATAATCTTTCAATAGAAAGCATTGATGAGCAAAATATTGTCCCTTGGTGTCAGGGTGGTTGTTGTCTGCCCTGGGTCCATCATGTCCCTCGGTGCCAGGCTTTTATCTCATTTATTTGCCCAGTTGTCCACGTTGGGGGGAATTAATTGGATATAGTGGACAAGCAAAGAGGTATATATATATATTAATAGAGGAAGCACATCATGGGTTTTGGATTAATTTTAGGTTGTTGCACAAACATTGTATATGTACTTTTTATGACTCCTTGTGTTTACACTATTCACAATTACAGAACAAGTACAGTAAAAATGATAATAATTTAACATCTTTGAAAAGATTAGTGTAAAATGAGTTCTTAGGCATAGTCCTTATCAAAAAAGGAAGTTTGTCCAAGGTTATAGGATCAATTGACCACGTCAGCTTTCATTACTCCAGCTTACATGACAGTCTTACAGCACTGAGTAAAGAAAACAGCAATTAGTTTAAATATTATGACTAGTACAAGAATTCCAAGATGTAATAGAAAAAGGAATTGCAATCCAGATCGAAAAAGGGAAACAATACCAGAAGGGAGCCAACCAAACAACTCAAGACTGAACGCAGGATCGCTTAAGGCATTCACCTGCTTTTTCATTTGCTTTAGCAGAGATGACACATTGGAAGACTTGTCAGGTATGAAAACACAGCATTCAGTTTAAATGATTGCACATGTACCACCTTGGGATGTAGTTAAAATATCTAAGGCCATTCTATTTTGAAGGACAGTCTTTTTATTAAAGACATTTTAGTATTTAATAAGGCAATTCCTGCTTGACTGTCATTAAGGCCTTCTGTATGTGATATGACATCCTTTAGCCCTAAAAAAGGAACAAATATAGCTAGCTGATTGGTGGTCATACCAGGGGAAAACTGAATGAGCCCGTCTGGCCTTAAGGAGAGGAAGGTTGGCAGCAGGTGTCACTGTGAATCCTTCCCTGCATTTAAGGGAAGCTTGGGATGCAGTGTGTTAGCCATCAGGCCAGTAGTCAAGGCCAGAGATTTGTTCTATATAACCATTAAGTTATATTAGGAGCCACCCAATAAATGCCTGGACTTTCAGTCCAGTCTGTTCCAAATCAATCACTTTCCTTAAGTATGATAGTATTCTGAAAATCTTAAATGTAACAATTATGAAATAGGTATACAGTTTAAGCATAACAAAGGTTTAAATGAGTGGATTTAAGCTTGGGAATACAGTCCTGGTCCGGAGTCTTGGGACAGCTATCTACAACAGATGTTGTCTTCTTCTCATCCTGGTTTGGATATATTCATATTGGCCAGTTGAAGTCAGGTTTCAGAAATAGGAACTGTAACTCAGGTGGAAAATCTTTTTAAACCAAGAAATGTGAATCCGTGAGTCTATGTCTTTTGATTTTGCAGCACGTGAACTGGTTAAAAGTACCTGGTATGTTCCTTTCCAATAGGGCTGTAGAGTCTTTTATTTGATGTCTCTTCTGATAAATAAATTTTCTAGGTTATCATCCTTAAGGTCTGGGAGGCCTCTGTAAAAAGAATCGGCTACCGACTTCTCATATATATATATATATATTTTTAAGTGTCTCAATGAGACCTTGGCAGTAATTAAGATATTTTCTTTACGCAAAGTTGATTCATACATTTCTTTATCTAATTGCATAGGCTGTCCAGTTATTATCTCAAAAGGAGACAGCCGATGTTTAGCAAAGTGCGTAGATCTAAGATTGAGGAGCAGTAGTGGAAGAGCTTTCAGCCATGAGATTAAATGTTCCTGAAAGCTTTGCCAATTGAGTTTTGATGGTGCCGTTAGTTCTTTCCACCAATCCTGAGGATTGGGAATGTTAAGCGCAGTGGAAATTCTGTATCATTGGCCCAATATTACAAATAGACTAATTATTTGTCCAGTGAAATAAGTTCCCTGGTCACTATGTAACTCAGCAGGAATTCCCCAAACAGGAATTATTCTCTCTAATAGTAATTTACCTACTATTAGAGCCGTTGCTCCTCTGCAAGGAAAGGCCTCAACCCAATGTGAGAACACACAGTCATTATAAGATATATTTATCCTTGAGATGGTGGCATTTGGACACAGTCCGATTGCTATACCTCAAAGGGTCCCTTAGTAAAGGGAAACTGGCCTTGTGATTCATGTAGTAGTTTCCCTAGATGATATTCTGGGCATATAACACAACGAGTATAGCTTTATGAGCCACTGTGGGAGAAGGTTTCTAAAAGCATTGCTTTTCCCACAAAATTATCTTTTCAGGTGCCCAATGGGTTAATTGGTGTATATGCTGGAGCAGTGGCAATTGTGCTCCAATAGGTCCTATGGGTTTCTTACTGGGTGCAAACCACATCTGTGAGGGAGTGTCAAAAATTCACCCTTTTGACTGCTATATCTGTTTCTCTTCTTTCGTGGTGATTTCTTTTAAGCCTGTGGAAAGAAGTCTTTTACTGGGTTAGCAGAGTTAATAGGAATTAGCAGGCATTCTCGAGGCTGGACAGCATATCCAGCCTGGTAATGTCTTGCTTATAGTTTAAGTAAGACCCTTCTGTAAACCAAATTAAATAGAATGCAGTCGTGGTCCTTCCTCTTGTGATGTTGGAAGCAAGACAGCAGGGTTAAAATACTGAGTAATATTTACCTACACAGTATAACCTAAGAAGTTTTTATCATTTACTTGACAATGCTTCCCGTGCAATTTAGCATACCAAACAAGCCTAATTAGGTTAGTATCTCCCTCTTTATAGGAAGAGATCAAATTTCCTTGAGAATTGCCAGGGCCTTTTGAAAATTTTCAAAGAAAAACGTTACAAGGAAGACTTTATTTAGGATATGAATTTTGGGGAGCTTGTCAAAAATATCGAAGTGTTTTAAACACTTGGTCAGACAAGATCAAGGTGTTGCTGCTCTTGTCGCAGTGAAACAATGCTTAGTTAACAAACAGCATTTAAACAGTCAAAAAGACCGTAATAGAGAGACCTCAGTCTTTTGCTTCCCAGTGTTGGCTATTGTGAATAATGCTGTGAAGAACATAGGGGTGCATATATTTTTTTGAATTACTGACTTCATAATCTTTGGATAAATATGCAGAGGTAGAATAGCTGGATCTTATGGTATTTTTATTTTTAATTTTTTGTGAAATCTCCATC